TCACTTCTAACATTTCCTTCTTCCCCCAGCGTTATATGCTGAGCATGACTCCAGACGGTCTGGGACATCCCGTTGCTCAGCTGGGTCAGCTGTCCTGGCTGTGTCCCCTCCCAACTTCTTGTGCCCCCTCAGCCTCCTCGCTGGTGGGGTGGGGTGAGAAGCAGAAAAGGCCTTGGCTCTGTGTAAGCTCTCCTCAGCGGTAAGGCAAACATCTCTGACTCATCAACACTGTTTCCAGCACAAATCCAAAACACAGCCCCATACCAGCTACTGTGAAGAAAATGAACTCTGTCCCAGCCAAAACCAGCACAATCAGCATCCCCAGGGTTCCACTTACTTCATCTCCCTTGTCTTTGTGATTCATTCCAAAGTGTAATTTGCTGATATCTTACTGAGGTTAGTCCTTACTGTCTGTGGGATATGCAAGATCTGTTCACCTTTGGATTCCAGTTTAAGAAGAACGAACTTCTAGTTAGCGTGTATGATTGAAGCATTCGCACGAAAAAGGGAGCGAGCTGATTTGGCAGTATGAGCCCACAGTGAGCTAGAGACATGTGTGGGAATACTGTCCAACCATCGCTGCTTCGGCTGGTCCAGCTGTGCAGCATGGTTTGATGAGAGCGAGCTGGACTGTTAATTTATAGCTATAAATTTGTATTTAAAGAAGTTGCCTACAGCTTCCTTGACTTTATATATTTTTACAAGGATGTTTCCTATGTTCGTAACTATGGTTCAGAACAACTAGTTTAAGGATGGGGAAAGGAACCTTTTTGTTGCTCACAGGCGACCTGTTACCTGTAGGCTCCAGCACACCCTCTATGTCTAGTTAGTAGTGGGCAGCTAGAGAAGCAGAAATTTAATTCTTCATACAGGTTCTGATCATTAAGGAAGTAAAAAGTTGTGAGGGATATTTCTCAACCTAGAACTCTCACTGACTGCGGCCAAGAAGAAGGGTTATGGCTTCAGTGCAAGTAGTAGTTGACTGGAACCATCAAAATTATTCACAAGTGAATTCAGACTTTTGCATTTAATTCTCAGGTTTATGTGTGGAAACCAGTATGTTCCCATACTGACTGGCCCATTTCTGCAGGCAGTGTGTTGCTTTGAACATCTCTCCTTGATGTAGATGTGTTTCCAGTCTGATTATATCAGCTAACTTCCTATTTGCAGGCACAAAGTAATTGCTTGTCTAGGGTGTACTCAGATGGAACGGAGCTTTTGTCTATTGCTTCTTCTGTTCTTTCACATTCGTTTCCTCTTGTATGCATATATTGCTATACTTTCTTCTGCTCTGGATAATACTTTAAGTAAATTCTTTCATGGAACACTTTGTATTTAATCTTTATAGAATCGCCTTTGCTATGCTATTACCTAATTAGTAGCTGTGATTGGAGCAAGTGGAAGTTGATATAGGTGTTTGGGATATATCCATGGTAAGGCTGAGTGGGAAGATGGAGTAGGGAGCTGGTGAGCATGTGAAGCATTGTCAGTGTCTATAATGGTGGAAAAAAGATGTTAACATTTTTGAGGAAGGTGAATCCTAGGAGTGTTTACTGTTGCTGGCAAGGAGGGGGGAAAGATGTCAGGTACTTTTGGAAGACATTAATACTTCACCAAGCATTTCAACATGGTTAGAGGTGATAAAGGTGGGCGTTAGTGTTCTGTGTTCAGTATACATACAGATTATCCTGATCGGTATGCTGTTTGTGTGTAAATCATCCCAGTGGAAGAGCAGTAGGACTGCTCTAGAAAAGCCCTAGTGCAGCTGGCCACAGGAGAGACCAGAAGCCTGAGAAAATCTGTAGCTTATGCTGACATAAATGTCTGGCTTTTGCTTTTTACTACTTTGAGTGGGCAGGAACAGGAAGAGCCGGGAGGGTTGGCTTTCTGCTTGGAAAGTATCTGTATGTAGTACTGCCACAGCTGCTCTGAGTTATTGAAGTGTATGGCTGGTGCAATGTATGACTGTTGGAAGAAAGGAATTTTTATTCTTGCAAGTAGACCTTGCAAATACACGTGTCCTGTAAAACTTTGTGAACAGTGCAAAGATGTAGATGGTCAGCAAAGATTGCTGCCTATCTACAAAAACACAGTTGCATGCAGAAAATATTTTTATATATGACGCAAGCAAATGGATATCTAGACTACAGTTGTGTATCTACCAAAAATGAGGCCATTGTCTGTACTTTGTGGTTTTGATCCATCCTTCCTTTCTTTGACAGGTGACAAGATACCCATTTAAATGCAATATGGTATGAGTCATAGACTTGGCACACTAGATATTTATGCTGCAAAATAAAGAATTATAGTTTGTACTTATGTATTACACTGTACTTAAAAGGATTTCAGAAGAGAGGCTTTGCTTTGACTGCTGACCTTCTGAAGTGGAAAGCCATCATATGATAGTGTAGTTAGCTTGAGATAAAAGACATTTTTCATTTTTTAAATTTAAATGACAAAGTTCATGGATCCTTCATGTTGACAAGCTATACCTTCCAGTCAACAGGAAGAGCAGAAGAGCAGCTTTTGAGTAATTTCCTACTTTTGAGAAATAAGGAACTGAAGGAATCACATCAAGTCTAAGGAGGTATGACCATCTGGCAGAGGGAGATCATTTAGCCCAGAGCAAGCAGTGAAAAGGCTTTACGTGGCTTTGCTAGGCTGTGCCAGTGGCACCTCCTGCAGCTGCAGCCCCCAGGGGACTGCCATTCCCATGTCTGCTTTGCTTCTTCTATAGTGCTGATCAGAAAGTTGTTTCTGGTTTCAAGTAATACTTTTGGGCAAGAACTGTGTTAACTGATTCCATATCAGTGATCCAACCAAAAGTCAAGTGAATGAATGGTAGAGCTGGCATGGTGATCAGTAGGTAGTGACTGAGGAACGATACCCCTTGAGAAAGCACTGTTGCAGAAGAAAAGATACGTAGAAATGCATGTTGAATACCATTTAATAATACCTTCTTCTTTAAGGGTTTAATAAATGTCTTTTAGCTTTCTGAAAATTGTGAATTACAGTTGATTGGTTCTATATATAGTAGCTATGGGGGGAAGCAAATAAACGTTTGAGCATGACAAGTATAACTTGTCCAAATGCAACTGAAATTGATAGGAAGAGTTTTTGATTGAATATAATTGCCCAGACATTGAGAATTTTGAAGCCTAAGTTCGTTATGATGCTGAAAGTTGAATTTTCCCTGTGGTTGAATTGCATTTCTGATGTTATGTCATAGATTTCAGATGTCTTTTATGTTTTAAGAAGATCTGAATTTGACATGCCTTTTGAAAAGCGCTGTACTTATTTTGTATTCAGGCTTATGAGTTTGAAGGAAGAAAGAGAAAAAAAAAAAAAAAAGCCTCCAGTTTAGACCATAAAGCTCTTCTAATGGCATTATATTGATTACTGAAAATTGCCATCATTTTAGCTATGCCTCTTTTTGGCTTAAGGTAGGTTTGTTACTGTTGATTTCAAGCACAGATTTCAGTGTGATTCAAGTGGATGGTCTGATCCCTGAACTGTAGTAAATCAAAAAGTCCCATTGTTATCTAGCTGTACAGACTGAATTTAGAGCATAATATAAGTTGTTGTTAGCTGTATGCATGCTCTGAATGTTCTTAGAGCAGAAATCAGAGCCACAGATGACAATGGTCTAGTCGGCAAGAATTCCATCAGGCTAAGAAGATAGGGAGAATATTTTGAAAGTACTTATTGATTTTAAATTACAAAGTCGTCTTAAAGACTACTTTGCTTCAGTGTTACTGTCATTGACAGTGCGGCTCAGTTTGTCAAATTGCTGCTGCTGCAGAGACTGCCAAATAAGTGTCTTCTTCCTGGCATGATTCTTCTTTCCCCGTTCGCTCCATTTTGCAATGCTTCACTCACTTTTCAAGTTTATCTTTAAAAGATATCTGAGAAAAAATGGAAAATATTCAGATAAACCAGGAGGTGTTTTTTTGTATATAATACAACATTCTAACTTCTATCCACTGATCTTGTCGCTACTCTATTCTAATGCTGTAGCCTTTTTTCTTCTGAAATCTCTAATTAGCATATTCTGGGTGAAGTCGTGCACTGTAACTGCCATAGCATGAAGTGTTCTTAGGCTGATGGATGGCTGGCTTTAATGATCTTGATTCATGCCCATGGGAAAAGCCAGAAATGATGCAGGTATAATTTATATAACTGGGACGAACTACCTAAATTAAAAACCTTATCATCTTCTGCCTTTAGCAAGATTCTCTCCACCACATTAATCATTTTTCTTGCCTTAAAGGTCTGTGTTAGAGGGTTCTTCTAAGTTCTTAGAAGGAAGTCTCATCCTGGAATTGATGTGGTAATGTCCTTTGAAACTGCTCCTTTGTTCGTGGCTCATGTGATAGAAGTGTTGCTCTGTATTACACTTGTGTTGCAAAATCTAGAATGGTAAAATATTAAAATAGGCAAAACAGAAAAAAAAATACTGGGAGACCATAGGAAGTATTTCTAATGAGATGTGATGTAGTGCTACTCAGTTGTAAAATTAGATCATATTGCAGCATTTATTAATTGGGTCATATATCTGATGCCAAGTTTTGGATCATGGGTATTTGATAAAGTGATAACAGAACTTGAAAAACTAGTTTTTATGTTTAAGAGCAATATACATCCTACAAATGTTTGACAATAGGAAGCAAATTGTTGCAATTTAGTAGTTTTAAGTACACTTTGATTAGGAGAATATTTTGCTTTCTATTATTTTCAGTATTGACTAGCTTAATTTTTAAATCTCCTTAGACCAGTTTTTGTAATCCAGCACTTTTACTTCAATTCAGAGTTGAAATCTGTGCAACCGTTTTCTTCTATAGTCAAAAAAGAGCACACTGAGTTTTAATGTTGTAACAAATATTGCACAATAGCTCTCTTTAGTCTGGATTGTGGATTCATGAAAATAAAAGGAAGGATTCATTAGGCTATCTGTCAGAACTGTAAAATGAAATTCAGTTATGGTCTATATTTCTCTTTAGATCTCATAAATGGGGCCCAAGAACAGTGTGAATTGCCTCCTATGGATGGTTTTCCTCACTGTGAAGGGAAAATAAAGGTAAGGGAACTCTTTAATCTTATTATATGTGTTCTGTTAAAAACGGAACATATGTTGCAGTACATCACCACTCAAACAATGGCATAAAACAAGACCAACTGAGTCAAAAAAGATGATATTTAGGAGTGTATGTCACTACAGCATTGCTTACCTCAAGTCTTTAATACTATTGCTCTAGAGAAATAAAGTGGCATCCTATTGAGATGGGAATAAAATGCCATATTATGTTAAAATGCTATATCATTTAAGAAAGCGCTTTATTATTTGAATGCTATCTTATTCATAAACTTTCTTCTCCTTTTTGAAAAGCCCTGTTTTCTTCCCCATTATAAGTCATTTGGTGTCCCTTTACCCCAGGACTGGGATTCTGTGTGTACCTCACTCCAGCCCATTCTCTGTTTCAGCAAGACATTTGTTCACACTTCTTTCGCCCCTTTACCAACAACTCTGCCCAGTTCCTCCCTTCCCCTTCTCTGTTAAAAGCATTCTGCTTCTTCTGCTCACAAGCTATGCACTGCACTAAGTGTGCAACCAGAACTTTGGGGCTCACAGTTGATTCTACATAAATCCTGTACAATAATGCTGTTGGAAAGGCCAAATATTGAATGGCATCAGACTTCAACAACAACAAACCCCACGCAACAACAACAAACCCCAAGAAATCCTCAAAAACTTTTCAAGATGGAAGTTTTTGGTCTTTTTTCCCCAAGATACATTTCAAATGTTAGAATACTGTTTAATTAGTGGGGGAGAAATTTGCTGGACACTTAAATATTATTATTAAATATTACAATTTCTTTCTGAAAGTGAAAACAAATAACTATCAAAGTATATGTGAAATTAAGTTGCCTTTTCCTCTAAATAAAATTCTTAATAGTATTAAAAAAAAAAAAAAAAAAAAGAGACAAAAAAAAACCCAAACCTAAGTTTCAAATCTCTGTGTTTTGATCCATTTTGACAAACTGGCTGCATAGTGACTATGTAATACATTATTTGAATATTAAAATATGAATTTAAATTAACTACTTGCTTCTGCAGAAATGTCAGATTCTTGGCAGAATAGGGCAGATTTCAATCTTGGTAACTGAAATGATCTGTTAAATTCCAGAGTAAATGTAACACAGGGGGGCAATTCAGTCAACTCCAGCCACACCCATACGCCTGGATCCTGATTACAGTCTCCTTTTGATTTTTGTGTCTGATTGCTTGGCTACCAGTTTGTGTAAACAGTGCTCACATCTGGTGTGCAGTTACCTCCCCGGTGTAGCTGAAGACAGAGATGCTGTATGCTGCAAAATATCAATAAAATTCCTTATTTTGTTATTTGTAATTTTTATCTGATTGGATACAGCTGCTTGTAGCTTTCCCCTGTTTTCCTGAGTTCAGCGTGAAATAGTATAGAGTTATTATATGGTACTTAAACCTAACAGACTGTGCTTTTTTTTCCCATTACAGTGGATGAAAGATATGTGGCGATCGGATCCCTGTTATGCAAGTTATGGTGTAGATGGGTCCACGTGCTCCTTTTTTATTTACCTCAGTGAGGTCAGTAATCTTTCAATCTGCAGAAGGAGAACATCATTTTGCCTCCATATTTTTGGTAACCATTTGCAAACTTTTCTCAAAAGAAGTCATAAATTCCTTCAAAAAAATTCTATAAAGAGGAAAAATCTATTAAAACAGAATTATTATGAAGTGTATTGCTATTATTCATAAGTCCTCCAGGGGTTTCTACTCTGAAGAATTCTAATGTTTAGAACTAAAGTGATGTAAGCAGTGACTCTCCAGGGAGTCCATGATAGGTATCCTCTTAAACTGAAATATGAAGCTCAATTGTAGATCCTTGCCTCTGAACACTTTTTCTCTTGATTTCTATGTAGCTCCCAAGGTATTAATAGGGAGGCATTTTAGAGGAGATATTTGAGATGTAAAATTTGGAAAGTTGAACTAGATGGTACATCCTCCTAAGCAGCACGGCTGCTTCCTGCTTGGAGACTGTTCATGAATTGCAGACTCTGCTAACAGAAAACAAACAAAAAAAACCTGAAAGTCACATTTTTAAATGAAGTTGCATATATATATGTGTGTGTGTGTGTATATATATATATATATATTGGCTAAAGCTTTTGGTACGTGTCGGAACCAAAGGCCCAGTTTTGTATACAGCGGAATACGCTGCTTTCCCTGGTCTTTTTTCTACAGACTTCCTGTCTCCTGATTAACACTTTTATTCTAAGAATTCATTTTGTCAATCAATTATTATGAGCTCTATTGCTGGCTTGTAGTGTGTGTGCCAGAAACAGTCAGGTATATTTGATCACTTGACCTCTTCTTTCTTATTAGAAAAATTAAAATACCTTATGGCAACTGATCCTGGAAGTAGTATTGATATCTAGCAGCTTACTGCTTATAAAGAACTGCAAGAGCCATTGTTGCTACAGAATTTCAAACTAATATTAATTTTGTAGTTTTTGCAGGATTGGAGGGGTGGGGCTGGGTTTTTAAATTATGTATCTGAGATTAAAACCGTAAGTCTATTATATAAGTAACTGTTGTAATGAAAGCAGTTCCTGTTAATTTACACAGTTGACTGTCATTAAACTTTTGGTGTCATTCCTTGAAGCAGCAGTAATAGTTAAATGCATTTCCAAAACACGTGTCTGAAGAAATGAAAAAGGCTGGGTTGAATCACAAATTTGATTCATTCCATTGCTACTACCAAGTGTTGATTTATTTATGGGCTATAAAGCTGGGGAAGGAAAAGATACAGGATGACTATATTATTTATCCTGTTATTTATCATAGAAGCTAGAGATATGGTTTTATAATCATCTGAAGTTGATCTAAGTTTCTGCTAAAAGGTTATGTTTTAGCATTAGCAGAGTTATGTTTGCACATTAGTATTCTGTCAACCAGCAGGTGCTTCATGTTTTTAATGCAGATGTATCTTAAAAATTAAGATACATGTCACCTGAATGTGAGAATCTAATATTCTTAAATGACATTTATTATTTTGTATTTCTGTTAAATCACAGTATTTTCTGTGACAATCTTCTCTGATCACCAGTTTTGAAAACCCACTTGATGCTGTTAGTTTTTTCATAATTGATCTTTCAGCTCTTTCTTATGGCAGAATGCATGTAGATTTACAGAGGCCAAATGGTTGTTTTATCACAGGTCTGGGGATTTGAAATTTTTGTTTAAGCAGCAATATTGAATTTGGGCAACTTCTCATTTCATGATGGAACAACAGTACAATTAGTCTATGTGTATATTTGGCAACTTCAGACAAAGGCCTTGTACTTTTGTTTTTTTAAAGTGTTTTCCCATGACAGAATGTAAAACTAGTGCTGGGTGAGCATGTTATTAACCTTGGGTTTAAATTTGGCATTCTTAATCCTATGATTAATTCCACAATTAATGCCCAGCAGCAGAATATGAAAGCTTAAATGTTTGCGAATGCAAGCATGAAATGAAATTCTAATAACACTACAATGATGTGGATTTATGAGGTGTGTTGGCTGCTAAGGATAACTTGGAAATGCTCTTGCGGTAGTAATTTGTCAAAGTGGACAGTGATGAAGAGTTGACAGTTTATAGTACGGTTGCACAGCTGAATGATAAATGTGTCTACATAGCTCTTAAGTCAAAACTGCTGATTTAAAATATTAGAATGCATTAGGGTACTAGAAGGATATTACTGTTAAGATTTTTCTTTTTTACTTTAAGGTTACAGTATAGGAATAAGATAGGTGTGTACACATGTTCTGTTTGAATATGTGCATCAAATATGCACAACACAATTTGAAATGACATAATATGCATTAAATTGTGCATATGTCTACTTTTGCTCTTAAAATCGCCTCTACAATCTAGTGTGACAAGTGCCTACGCTCTTTTGTACTCTTTTGCAATCTACTTTTTTCTTCTGGAGTGGTTTGGTTAGGGTATTATGTTACACTCATCTAGCACTCTGAGTAATGCAATTTCCAACTTGTAAACAAAGTAGCCTGAAATACTACATTTTGGTGTGTAATATGGGTCAGAACTACAGAGATACAAAGTAATTTAGAAACAAAGCTTGGAATAAAACCCAGTCTTTGGATATCTGTCATGTACCCTTGTTATGATTCCACCATGTGTGTCTGCAAAATAGAAACAGCACAGTCAAAATCCAGGCTGCCCCAAGTCTTCTATTCTGAAGAGCCTGTGCAAGTATTAGCAGTTCTGCCTCCTCTGATTTGCTTTGGATGGCACTCCTGCAGGAACATAACAGCTATCTAAACTGCTCTTCTCCACTTCTTTTCTTGTGTCTTGGCTGCTTGAACAGAACTGGAGGTGAGTGTAGCAGCAGAAGGAAAGCAAGAAGTAATCCAGTACATTCAGGCTTATGTTTTTTAATTTAAAGCTTTCCCCTCTACAGACTTGCAGATAAAACTGCAAGGATTTTTGCACTTCTATCTTGCTGTTTTGCTGCAGGCACTGGATCACTCCTGGTGATGATATGCAACTGTGCAGTCTTCGTAATACTACTTGTGCTGGAGCCTTTGAAGACTGGAGGAGACACAAATGGCCTGAATAGCAAAACCAGACTTGAATTCTCTTGAGTATCAGAGCAAGATAGGGATTAGAAGTAGCAAATAACTGAAAAACAAGTTAAGCAAACTCTAAGGTTTCTGGATAGTTGGGACTTGTTTCCTTTTAACTGCGATACAGACTTGAGAGGAGTTACTTCATTGTAAACTTAGCATTTAGTTATGAAGAAGCCAGATGTTTAACGCTGTAATGTCACTGGCACAATTATATTTTTCACAGATGTACTTGCCCCTGGAGAGAAATGTGAAAAAATTCATTTCTAAACAGTACAAAAATACATTTCACTGCAAAATGCCAATTTGCAGCTGATGAATGAAGCTTTTAAAAATATCTTTTAGAAAACAAATTTTTCACACAATTTCCCAGCTTTAGAAAACAAAGCCAAAAAAAAAAGTGGAGGGGTCTTATTGCTCCTTTATCTAGATACACACTTTGAGAGGATTGCCTGCCACACAGAAGTGGGACTGCTGCTGTGCCTGCTGGTCAGCCAGTAGCTGTGGTGCAAGTTACCACTGCCCAGGGGCCATTACACTGACTCTTACCTGACAGAGCTGGTACTAAAATCCCAAGCTTTGGATCTCCAGCTCGCCTTTCGGGTGCAAGTGTAATTTTTTTGGTACCCATCTGGAAAGTGCATCCAATGCTTCAAAAGACTAAAACTTTCAAAGACCAGTCTTTGAGACTCCTGTAGCTTTTGTGCACATGCTGGTATACCACTAGAGAGAATTCTTGTTTTCAGTCCTTCAGACTTGCTGGAAACAGATTGCATAGTTTGGTTGCAGCAGTATTTTTCTTTACACTGTTACTTTTGCTTTGAGTTTTAAAGCAGAAAAATACAAACTAAAGGTGATTTTGAATGTGGTCTTATTTCCAGGATGCAAGCTGTAGTCTGAGGCACATTTTAGTGAAAACCCCTGGGAATTATATAGGTTCTTCAAGTCCTTGTGGTTTTGATAGTTTACTGCAGTTTCCTCACATCTGTGTAGAAGTCCCCTTTCCTCAACTTCTGTTGTGTGTCTAAGCTAATTTCTGACATTGAGGTGAGTTAATGATTTGCATTTCTTCAGTGTAATGTAACATCAAACCGGCTTCTTTGAATTCTACACAATTGCTTAAAAAATTGACAAAAATAGTATTGTTGTCTGACATGTAAAGCAACAAAAGCTCCTGTTCTTTAGTCATCTTACATGTGTCTCTAAGAAATTGAAATGCTAATCATAGTCAGCACTTTGTCCAAAAATCACCAGGTGATTGGGGCTCAGTTATCATTTCTACTTCTGTCATTTTACACAGAGATTAGTCTTTTTCTGTCTTGTTGGAAAAGGTGTCAATGCCATTGTAAGAGAGGAATCAAATTTAGTGCACATTACTGAAGTTAGAGTCCATTTGTTGGTTGATGATTATGTATAAAACTTCGTGTTGCAGTGTCACGGGGACTGTACGTACCTAACACCCAATGTTTGAGATTGCCTTTGGAAACAACCAAATCCACAGTTACCTGCTCACTCTTCATTTCACAAAACAGGAAGACTGTCCTTCACACCACAGATTTTGTAGCACCTTCAAAATGGCTACCTATCACTGAGTAAATGCTAAACAAATTATAGGTATTACAGCTTCTAGAGGAGTTGAGAAAGTCACCTTCCTAATGGGAGCAGTTCTTTCACATTAGATTCTCAGAAGGATTTTCTAAGTGAACATTATGAGTTCTCTTCTCTGCCTGCCTTCTACTGCCTAATAAATTTAAAGATGCACCTTCTTTCACCAGATATTGCAGCACTGTTTGTTTTTATTTCCCACTCTGGGACTGACATAAGATACTTAGCAGCACTTCACAGTGGATAGAAGTACACTGAGCAATAATGCTGTTTGCCTGATGGAGCTAGCTACATATACTCTAGACAGTGCTGTGTCTACTATGATTCAAAAACGAGTAGGGAACACTTGACTTCTCAAGTGGACCTAGTTTCTTGATCATGATCAAAGTTAAACTAATGCATTTTATTGTCATTGAATTCAGTATTAGGTACAGGAGGCACAGCTGGTCTTATTCAAAAATATGTGAGTACCAAGATAAATGTAATATGTTTTGAATAATAGCTTAGCATTTATACCACTCATCCAAAAAAATGGTCGATTTTCAAATCTGCAGTTGCTGCTTCCTAACAATCATCTTTAACTGCTAATCTGTAGTCTGATATCACATCCTTCCTATTAAATCATCTGCATGACAGTGTAACAGTTGGTTGCTATGCAAGGAATAAGCTAGAGAAAGAACTGATGCTAACTCAGTGAGAAGGAGGTTGTCTGGATTCCTCCTTTGGAGGCAACTTGTGTGTTTTGTCTTAAATGATCAAATGAAATGCATAAACAAGTTGAAGAGCAGGATCCAAACAAGCACCACTGCCCTCCTTCCCCTTACGCAAACTTAGGGCTGGCTGCACGTGGATATTCTGTACCTAAACAAATACAAAGTTGAAGTATTTATATTTCTGATGGAGATTTCACCTAGACCCACTTTGGTGATATCCTAATCCATTCTGTCATCATCGCCAATGACAGAGAAAAGGTGCGTGTGCATAAAACAATAATAGATTTGTAACCGCATGCTGCAGCCTTAGCACATGCTATATCCTCTTCCTGTTTATGATCATATACATGCACATCTATATGTAGAAATGAGTCTATACACACACACACACACACACACTTTTTTTTCCATTGTATATGTTATCTAATGGCAAATATTCCTGTCCCAGGACAAGTTAAGCTTTAATGCTGTTGCATTTTCTGCAAACTTTTTTGTTACAAGTTATCAACCAAAGCAGGTTCCACCCCATACCACCCCCAGCTTCCCGATCACCCCCTTCTGTTTGTATTAGGAGCTTCCAGAAAATGTGTTACAAGATAAAGTCCCTAATTCTTCCCTTCACATTCCCTGATCTATCTCTGCCTTGACCCTGGTAGCTTCAGTGAAAAGTGATAGGCTTTCTTTAGGCAATTTGGGAGCACAGGGAGAAAAGCAAGTTCCAGGCACCATGTGTTTTCAAGAGTTTGCATCACTTTTGATGCTTATTTGTCACGCAAGATGAAGGAGGTTGAAGGCCTCCACTCAAGTCAATCTGAGCAGTTTTGGGTACTCCTTACCTTCTGTTGTCCCACATTTATAGTTGGAAGTTAGTACTCACTGAAATAAAACCTGACTTTACTTATGATACATCCATAAGCCTGAGAAAAATTGATTAAATTTTCACTGGTACTTACTGGGAAAAGATCATTTCATGAGCATCCCCCTGCATTTTTCAGTAACTAGAGCACTCACCTTTATTTTCAATAGAACCATGAAAGTATAACCATGGAAGTGGTTAATAGTCTGAATCTGAGAACAGCTGCAAGACTTGTTTAGAAATGATGAGTACAGTTAAATTTGCTGTTGTAGGCCATATTTGAGTCATGCAAGGCAACCAGGGAAATTATTTAACTACTTGGGTTTCATATTTAGTTATAGGCATCCTTGTGGTGTTCTGTATGAAAAACACTGAAGCATTAGCTGAAGTGGCAATACTTGGTTCTTTAAAAAGTAAACAAACAGAAAACCCCACCCACCCACTTTCTAGGTCATCCAAAGTTCTCATGAAACCATAGGTCCTGCCAACAGCTACAATTAGAAGTTGTTCCTAATCTTAAAGGTGAGAGATTGCAAGTTCTGGAGAGGAAGTGCTTAAGTGCTCAGTTTAAATTGAATAGCAGTACACTGGACAAGAGAGGAAGGCTAAGTAAGGAAAGAGCAGAAAGTGGTTGTCTTGAAAAAGGCCAACAGTATAGTTATTTAAATTATTTGCAACAGTAGCAGTATGTATTCTGCACTACTGTGTATTATTGCATGGGGCTAAGTAGCAAGGAACATGAAGTTCATTTCGCTACTCTTCTGGGTTAGTGCAAACTCTTGCATTTAATTCTGACACAAAATATTGAGTACTATTTCTTCACAGGATTTTTAAGCAGCCTTTATTGAGGCTTTGTACCACTGTAGACCTTAATTTTACATAGTGCAGTGTGAAAACACAGTTAACTGGAAGCTTTATCTTGAAATACATATAAAAATGCAATTGCTGTGGGTTTTTGAGGAAAGCAGCAATTAAACTTAGCAGCCTGCTAGATATCTTGTATAAGTAACATCAAATCAGCAGGCTTTTAAATTCTGTAGTAGAAGCCTTTAAATGCTATTGTTTCCTTTTCCAGTAGTTCTACAAAGGCTGTCTCTGAAGTCTTCAGTATGTTGTGTAGTTGCACAGGGTGAAACCCCTCTCCCTTTCACCAAAGCGTATATAGACTGTTGATCATCTGTTGCTCTCACTGAACAGGGAAGCAAGAACTGGAGATGGAGAGAAATATCTCTGTTCCCTCTGAAAACTATGCTTTTGTTGGAAGTATGGTATTTATTGAGTACTAGGTATCTCTAAACACAGATGTTATGACTTGTGTAGACTTCCCTGCTGTAGATTTTCACTTCTGCTTTCCTCACTCTTTATCTGATAATATTCACTATCATCTGAAAGTGTCTTCTGGTGCATGAGCCTCAGTGATGAGTGTTTGCACGTTCTGTGTTCTGCCATTGCTCTAATCACATTCTGATTTCCTCTCAGTTTCCCATGGAACCATGCCTTATTAATTGCACTTGATTCTTTAATTATCTGCAAAATTAACTCATGGTCTGAACAACAGAATTTGTATTTTCATTTTGGCAGGTTTTGCTGTCATAATGTATGCCCCTGATCTTTTTTGCCCAGGAATAGTTGAAATTCACTGTTAAAGTAATCCTAGTTTGGCTGGTTTGTCAGTCAGTATTTTGTCTCTTCATCCCCACCTTCCCTTATGTCAATACATTAAATTAATACGTTTTTTTTCTTCTTTCCCCTTCCCACAGTATGTCGGACTGGTTTGCTTCATCTTTGCTTTCTTGGTGCTCTTATTAATTATAATCCCCCCATCTAACAGATTTTTGTGAGTCATTGGCTCATTCTTTCCTTTTTCTATAAGAGAATGCCTATGCATTCTTCCCAGTGCATTTATCAGTCCTGAAAATAACAAAACAACTGGCATACTTTGAAGAGTATGCATTTAAAAATCCTCTGGTGAGTTAAGTTGGTCTTTCCAATGAAAAGAAGAATTGATTGAATGTCGATAGAGAAAAATGACTGCTAGACCAACTTTGGACACTGATACTGCTTTGAGTCTACTCCTTAAGTGTTTACTTCTGATTAGAATTACTGTAATTTTATTTAGACTATAGGGAATATTTCTAAAAGCACAAAAGAACTATATTTGTTTTTCAGTCAGTGAGGCATGCAGCTAACTGTCCTTGGCAGCTCTGAAAAATCTTCAATTCCTTTAGGATGCCTGATGGTGCACTGTGAAATACATGAAGGCAGAAAAGGGGCACGTACAGTAGTCCTTGAAATGTCGTATCTTAATTTAGATCAGTTTTACTGCTAGGAATAATACAAAATCATTTGTACTATGTAAAAAAGAAAAAAAAGAAAAAAAAAAAAGAGAGATTGGGACTGTGCATGATTTGTAATATGGAGCTTTCAACTCTTTTCTACCAGTGATTCCACAATTTACATTAGTAAAAGTTCGGATTATTAATTGCTACAGTTTTTATTCTGTTTCCAGAGTTGGAAACCACTGAAGAATCAGATGTTTTCAACCAAAGTTGATCAAGTCACAGCTTTCAACTGTTGTATTAAATACATTGGGTAGATTAAGTCATAGTATTCAAATTAATGTTTTTATATAATTTGTCTGAGGAACCTGAGCTTGATACATTTCTTCTCTTTAATGAGGTTATGATGTCTGTTAATTTATTTTCATGTGATTGGTCTTCTAGGCAATCATTTGGTATGATCTTAAGCTTTTAATCTCTAATGCTTCAGGCTTACTGCAGCATGATTAAGCTAAAATTGTGTTTTGACAGGTCTATGACTGGAGGAACCATAATTCTCTGGGAATTGTGAACTTAATCAGTAGTAATGGTCTATCTTAGCTGGCCTATACATTTTTGCATTTCTCCCTTTTCACAGTAAAGTTATGTTTCTGGTTTCATGGATTTGCATCCGACAGTGAGATACCTTCTTCCCTAAAGCTAATGGCCTAATTTCTTCAGGCACATGAATAATAAAGATTCTGCTGGCCAAGCAACAGGCCTAGGGGAGAGCACAGGAGCTTTCAGTGACATGCATCCATTTGCTGTTTCTTCCCAAACTACTAGCTGTTGCACTTTTTTTTTTTTTTTTTTTTTTCTAGCAGACAATAATAGAAGCATTACATTTGCACTGATTATGTTTCTCTAAGAATTATAGCTATTAGTACTTGTGAATGTTGTTACTTATAATTATACTACTTATACCTTTCAAATAGTGTCGTTTTGGTTTTATTCTTTCAACTTTTTGTCTGAATTGCTACAATGTAGACCTTTGATCCTTGGGTTTTATCAGGCTTTGCTTTTTTATAAAGATATTCTGGTGAGATGGGAAGTTTTCCAAAATACGTATTTTTTTAAGGTCTACAAGAATAAAAAACTTAATACTTTCTGAAAACATTTAGGAACTGCTCAGAGAAACTGTATTTAGAGCATTTAACAGCTGACTTCTGTCTTGAAGGGTTTTATCTCCTGTATTCATTATCATGAATGAATATCTCAGTGCAACATTTGGTTGCAAATTTTCAAGGTTAAAATAGTATTGAATTGCAAAAAGTATTCTTAAGATGTTATTGCAAAAAGCAGTTTTACCTAGCAGTAATTTACTAATCAGCTGATGCCTTATTTAAACCATAGAAAGGTATAACATAAAGGCAGTGAGAGACTTTGGTAGACCAGCTGAAAGTAGAACACAATGATTTATTTTCATGTGATTGTTTTACAGGTTGAAAATTGGTGTCCTCGTTTACCTTGGAGAGCAAAAAATCCTAATGAAGAAACAGATCAAAAAACGGTGGTAAGAACACTAAAACATGAGAAATAATTCAGTAACTGTGATTCAAGCAAAAGATCCTGGAATCTTGTGCCACATAAATGTTAATAAGACTAGAATTTACTGGTTTTATTCCTCAGCTCCTCAAAACTGAAGGGAAACATCCTTGACTGTATACATGTAGGTCATCATGTATTTTCTCCAGTCATTGTATCACACTGCAGTCTTGGTGGTAGATTTCCATTAAAAACATTTTTGCGTGTAAATTTATGAAATACTGTACACAGATAGTGAGAAAAATTACAAATCCATAGACTGTTCACCAGTGTTAAGTGACCATATGTGAAACTGTGTGGTTTTATTGTCCCATAAAACTGGGCCTTGAATATAAAAATGCCTTAGCAGAAGAGGCTTATATACATTTCAGTTTTGTAGTAACATTTTGATTACTCCTGATTTTTTTTTTCTTTTAAAAACTCTACAGCATGCAGAGTTGTTTCTAAACTGTTATAGCCTAATTATGTAGCACTTAGGTATTTTAATATAATTGCTGGGTGGGTCGTATATGAACATTGCTTATATAATTTAGATATAGGCTGTCTCATTTTGTAAAACCAATTGCTCTGAGATCAATCTAGCTTTAAAATGAATATTTCTGTTAAAATTTAAACTCTAGTAATGTTTCTTCCTTCATGGTATAATAGACTTCCTTATATTTGGAAGATTCATGATATATGTGAATCTTCAGCATACTGTTCGGATTTTATATTGTGTTTTAGAGATAGTTGAACATCATTTTGAAGCACATGAATAAAACCAAACCTTATATTACAGAAATAAATACATTAATACATTGTAAAACATTGCAAACAGATTCTGTGGCTACCAAATACTACTAATAAAAATAAGAGTAGTTTATGTGGCTTAGAAATGTCTGTTTAAAGATATCTTAAATATTTGAACTAAAATCTCAACTTTAATGCTAGGAGTGTGTATTTTTTTCTTGTGTGTGTGGGGGGGTTTTGTTTTTAATGGGGAATGTAAAGCACAGAGTTCACATTTGAGAAGTTTTTTCACTTCTGAATAGTACACTACTTGAAGAATAATTTTTTTTTAATGCTTTAATTGAAGGCTGAAATTCGTATCAACTTTGATAATCTCTACAAAATGATGTCAAGACATGAGGAATTCAGGTGGATGATGTTACGCATCAGACGAATGGCTGATACCTGGATTGAAGCAATTAAATCACTTGCAGAAAAACAAAATTTGGAGAAGAGAAAACGTAAAAAGGTAAATAAAACCATTTTTCAGTCTTACCACTTGCAGTCATATAGGCTCTTTTAAGCTTCTTGTTCCAGAAGTAACTTCAGAGTGGAAATACAAAATATGTCTAAAAGGCTCGTGTTTATACTCATTCCTCTTTTCAAGAAGTATTCTGCTGTTTGAAATTACTATTACAATGGGGATTTGCTTTACAAATAGTTTTACATACCGTCCATGAGTCAATCTTTGGTTAAGTTTTCTAACTTCTTTAATTTTGGATAAAATAGAGACTATGTAAAAGTTTCTAAAGGGACGAACTATGAATTTACTGCAAGCTGATGACACTGGAGTGTTTTACGTAATTGTAGCAAACAACAGTTGTACATCTTCTTTGTCCAAAATTGAGACTTCAAATGGTGTATTTCTGGTTTGGATTTGGATAGACTTAAAGTTGGCCACAACTTTAGATTGGATCAGTTTAGACCTCCTATAATGAGTTCAATTTAAAAACTGAGATTCTTCAAGTGTAAATTTTTATTTTGTTTGATTTATTTTTTTTTTTAGTTATCTCAGCTAGTTAAGTCCAAAAGTTGTAAACACAGCAATGAGTTTCCCTTCCTGCCTTGTTCTGGCTGGAGCCAGCCCTGAGTGGCAGCAGGCCATGCACAGGCATGTTTCTACCCCTCTCTTTAGCCTGGCTGGCTGCAGCTCAGCTCCTTGCTCAGGATTCTCAGTCCTTGCATGAGTTCTAGGCTCCATGTTGTGCTTGTAATGTTTATCACATGCCACAGTCCATCAGAAGGCTCACCCTCTTTCAAGGAGCAACCCCTCTCTTTCAAGCAGCCCTCCCTATTAAAGAAATAAAACATCTGAGAATATATAAACTCAAGAATAAGCAAAATCGGTGCTGTCCTGCACAGGCAGTTTTGATGGGATGCTCTTGTCCTTATTCTTTGCTTTGAAAAGTCCTTTGAGATTGCTCTGTAATACATATGATGATTTCCTTTTAACATGTCCCATGCAGTTCTGGGAGCTGCAAGAGATTAGATCAAAACAGGGTTTGGAATGTTGCTCTATAAAGAGTGAAGGGAAAGGTTTTTGTTGTTTGGGAGTTTTTATGCTTGGCTTTGTATGTACTCACACTCAAATAACAGTCCAGGTATGTAATGAAGTGTTTGGAACCCAATTTCTGTGCTTCGTTAGAAAGGCAAGCACAGATTTCAAGGAGCTACAGAGAAAACTCTCCTCCAGTGACAATGGAGAGGAGAGGTTCAGAAGGCATCTTCTTACCCTTACGCAGTCTTTCCAAGTTCTTAATGGCTTGTTCACAACTGCACACTCTTCCTTAACTATACTGTCTTGCATAAACAAGTATATCCTACTTGAGAATGTAAGTGGTTATTCAATCCAAATAAGTTAATGTGAGCCACACTTCTGTGCAGAATTATTGTTTAATTACTGATCTCATGGCAGAAAATAGTGCAAAACAGTTCAGGAACATTCTTATAATGGCTGTTCTAGAGATGCATTACAAAATTAAATTATTGGTGTTGGGAGTATTTTTTTTCTTGTTGTTGTTTTTTGGGTTTTTTTTTTTTTTGGCCATAGTTGAAATTTAATAGAAAGAAAAAATACTGTGAGGTATAATGGTTGCATGTATAATGTCGATAACTCTAACATGTGACTTTCCTTTCCAGATTCTTGTTCATCTAGGGCTTTTGACAAAAGAATCTGGATTCAAGATTGCAGAAAATGCATTTAGCGGTGGCCCGCTTGGTGAATTAGTCCAGTGGAGTGATTTAATTACATCTCTCTACTTACTGGGCCATGACATCAGGATTTCAGCTTCACTGGCAGAGCTCAAGGAGTAAGGAGATTACTTTCACTTTTGAAACTGGAATACAAAAAAAATGAATTGTCAACACTTGAAGCTTCTATTAACAGTATATAATTTCTTGAAGGATAAAATGAAAGTGATAATTCACTAAACAGACGATAAGATTATTTTCATGAGCTAAGTATATGCGCTATGAAAAGGATAATGTGTTTTCATTGTAGCTTCAGGCTCCTGAGACTTCACAAATGAATGCTGTAAAATTCAAACTAAGTAGCGGCTGCTTTAACATTTCAGGTGCTTTAACCAGCTGCAATAGGAAATGACACAGACTATCTTAATTCTGTGTCCTCTTCTTCAGATTCTGCTATTCTTCTTTCAGTATCTCACTTTAAAATAAATGTTTAAATCCTTTAAAGACATGACTTTTGATGTAGTTAATTGCTTATGTTAAGTCAAATTGCTACTTCGCTCATCTTTGTCTTGCTTTGCATGCTAGTTCAGCGTTAGGCGTAAAACATCTGTTTTAAACTTGAGCACATAGACTTTTTCTCTAGCTTTTGTGTTTTTTATAATAAAACATGACAACATCATTTTGTAGAGAGCTCTTATACTATAAAGCTGTCAGTAGAAGCCAGAAATTATTTCAAGTAATTTCAAAGCATGCTATTTTTAAACATTACAACCATATTACTCTCTTGTTTAAACTCAATGAGGTTTTTAGTGAAAATCGGTGCTTTACTGATGTATAAACATTTCTTTAATAAATGCTGAGCATCTTTAGCATTTGAATGTTCTTACATGGTTCTTGATTTGGAAAAGATAAGAGTAAGACTTTTTTTGGAAACGGGAATTATTGGTATAAATAGTATTACAGCATCTTTCAAGGTTTTGGAAAGTAATACTTTTCCATATTCCTTCTTTCTTTGTTTAGGATTATGAAGAAGGTTGTAGGTAACAGATCTGGATGCCCTACCCAAGGGGATAAAGTTGTAGAACTCATTTACATTGATATTGTGGGACTCACTCAGTTTAAGAAAACCCTTGGTCCATCCTGGGTACATTACCAGTAAGTATAACACTTATTTGACCTCTGAACTGCTTTGTTAAAGTGCTTTTGTTGAATAACACATGTCAAAATGCTGAAGTGAGTATGTTCACGTGAACTTCAGTTTATTCAAAAGTGAAAATGTTGTTCTCTATCTTTCACTCTTAGGAATAAAGGGGCTATTACTTGTTTGTTGCTTACCATCTTATCCCCTCAGCAAGTTTGGGATTCTTGGATTCAAGCATTTTTGATCTTAATGAATTGTATTATCTTCTTGTGTCATCATCTTTGCCCTTCTTTCCCTCCCTTCTTTACACCCCTCCCGTTTGTTCTGTAAATTAGTAGATGAGCTGAGAGGTTATTGGATTTTGTTGTTTAGTTGGAATACTAGAGTCATGTTTTGCTTGTCAGTGTTTGCAGCCATACTGGATTGATGATTGTGGAGATTTATCTATTCTAATTGTATTGCCCAACAATTGCAACGCAATTTTTTTCTGTTCATTCCTTAAAATGCTGGGCAGATAGTTGTCTTCAGGGGTAGGTCTAAAGAATAAACTGCAGTTGTTGCTTCTGTAATCTATAAACATTTTTCCATTAGAAATGGAAGATGGTTGTCATAATAAATTACTTCGTACAGCCTTCTTAATGTTTGCAGTTTTAGAACCACGGGGGTTTTTTTGTCAATAACTTTGAATCGGCAAGCCTTCCATGTGTTGTACGAATACATGGCATGAAATAAAACCAAATCTAAATTAGTGACTTGATTTCTCTATACTTAATTGAATTAGCTGTGTTTCGTGATCCATAAAGTCCAGTAAATCCTACTTGAAGGAAGGTATTGAAAGGTGTTCACTGCAGGCAGAAAAATTGTTTTCTCCCAACCTCAGGGTTTTCTAGAGCATTGGATCTTTTCAGTGTAATTTTAAATGAGAGTACTGTGATCAGCGTTGCAGATTAGATTACTCTTAATCTCTTTTTTGAAGCAGAGTAAACGGATATTCTGTTTTTTAGGAGCCTGCTAATAAAGATAATCCCATTTTCCACTGAGCTACAGTTGGTTGTCTGTCTGCCAAATGTAATTGTCACTAGGCGATCACATACAGTATAGTGGTCACTATATAAAACCATACTTACAAATTTAAAAAGTTTCTTCCCTTTTGCTTTCAATTTCCTATTTGGTATATTCTGTAACAAAGATATGGAAATATACCATGACATTGAGATTATTAGATTAGTACTTCAATTTTACTTGCTTATTTCATGAATCATTAAAGCTTAAGTTTTCAATCTGTTTTTCACTGATTCTTAATTTGTGGTAATGACTGACTTTTTCTGGTTTAGGAGAGTAGAATTAAATTTAACTCTAAATAAATACCTTCAGTAGTATAGGAGTTTTGGGGGGGCTTTTGAAGAAGAAAAATATTAATACCTCCCTTCTACAATACTGGATTTCATGGGATGGAAGCAGACCTCATCTAGTCCACAGCCTTCCTGAAGAGTAGATTGACTATATTTGTCCGTCTTGAGAGGTTTTTGCCTGATCTTTTACCAAAGACTGAAAAAGATGCCCCAGCCATTGTTTTATATTGTTAAGCATTTCTTTAAAGTGTTTTTCTTGTCCTGATTTCTCACAAACTGCCCATTATTGCTTATTTTAATATGGTTCTGGAGAATAAATTACTTCCCTTCTCTGCCAGCCTCTAAAGTATCTTATATACTGCTTTTCCTTCAATTTGCTTTTCTTCAAAGTATGTTTAGGGTTTTGGATCGTTACTTATAATTCAGGTTTTGTAGATCTTTCATCAAATTTGTATTTGTTGAGAATCTCCCTAATTACTTGATACCATTTCACACTTGATACAAGTTTAGTGTACAAAATGGTGTCCAGAGTCTATCAGTGACTACCAGTACTGATTAGAGCAGAAGAATTAATTCATAGCTTCATGCATGCTATCTCCTCTTTGAGGATCATCTTGCATTTATTTTTTTCTCTCAGCATCATGAGTTACCTTATAAATTTTGTCATCAAAATACTTTTAAAACTAAGTCCAGTATAAAAATCATATTTGTATGGTTTTGTTTAATTCATTCCAGTAAAATAAACATAATCACAAATAAAGCTGCCATATAGCCCTTGTTCTTTACAAACTTTGTTCTCCCACTCAGTTGTATTGAATGTCAGTAGGAATAATTCTTTGTCTTGAAATAAGTGTTTTGCTTTGTGCCATATAGTTTTTCAGCAGGCATGTGCAGGTCAGATCAGTTTGGTTTATGCAGACTAAACTCAAATACAAATAAATTAAAACTTGTTTATTCACTTCAGATCAGAATAGAGTAGTAGAATAAACCTCTGCTTTCAGAACAGTCTCTTGATAAGAGTGCTATATATAATCTTCGTGAGTGAACTTGAACCCCGAGGAAATGTTTGGTAATTGCAAATCAGGTTTCTAGAACTGTTAGCTCAAAAGGATGACCCCGCTACTTTGAGGGGTGAGTGTTTCTGAACAACTGAAATATTCTTTTGTACATATGAGATCCGTAGCACCACTGACTGTTGGTAGTACATGCTTTATCTGTGGTATAATTGGTGCTGTAAATAGCATGACTATAGCAAAACAGATCTCATTTTTGAGTGCACCTGGTTTTCAAGCAGAAGAATGCCTGGACATGCTTTATTTTTCAGTTCTGAAGTCTGGATATTGGAATGCAGTTTATGTGCAATGAAGCAAAATAAAAATTAGTAGCTTAATATGGTTTGAGGAGTGCAGCTCATTGCCTTTCTTAGCACACGCATCATCCATACAGCACATAAGAATCTGGTATTTTTTTCATTCTTCTACAGTCTCTAGCAATGACTCATTCCCATATGCCAAAAGCCCAACTAGCTTTATTCTTGAAATAAATTAACATGACAGCTATCCTGAAAAATGAGCAACATTCCTGCTTCTTGCATGTTCTCTAGAATACATCTGTTTTAAGAGGGTTATTTTCTGACTAAGTTTTTACATTTTAAATGCAAGTACTGAGTGGCCTGATAGTTAATATGTGTGTCTGCAAGGATTTCCATTGGCAGGTATGAGCTGCTCATGGTCTGAGCTGGCTGCACGTTAAGCCAAAACAGTCTGGAGTCCGTGTATCTGTTCTGGCACGTTGCTGTGCCTGAGCTCAGCTCACCTGCAGAGCTTCCAAACCAAAACTGGAGGGGTTTTGACCAGCTTGCTTCCAGGAAGATGTTCCAGACACTGACATATATGCACCCTTTATTCAACAGTTTATGCTGGCATAAGCACTAGTTACTGACAGTGATGGGTGCTGCTGGACAGCATTGCTTGTTTCTACAAAGATGAAGTAGAGAAAAATTATAACCTCAGGTGAGAGAAGGATATGGTGATAATCCTGGGTTACTTTTGTCTAATTTTTTTTATAAGCCCCAAAATTGTCACTCGTAATATGCTAGGAGAAAGAAGACTTTAATATGGATGCTTCTATAAGCAGTTTGCTATCCACCAATCTTCTTTTTAATTAGTCAGTGAACAGACTGATCAGTCTGACACCAGTTCCAAAGCATGCTGTAATTCTCTGCAACTTCACTGCTAAAGCTAGGTGACATTTTAGGAAGGAAGGGGGAACAGAGTGAAAAACTGAAGTTAAAATAACACTAAATTAACATTTTTATTTAAAATATATCCCTGATTTAAAAAAAAAATATATCATTTTGCCATTTTTTAAATTAATTCTTTCCCTTCCGAAATGTTAAATTATTATATGCCAAATTAAACTTTTTGGTTTTGAAATAGTTCACCTGAAAGGTTTAAACCAGTAAGTGAAACAAATGGAGAATACAGCACTCAGCCAGACAGTTGAGGCATTGCTACATATGTTAAAATAACAGTACAGCGTAACTCGCATTTATTCATTTCTGAATTTTAAATCTTTTACCAGTTTTTTTCTGCTGCATTTCAGGGATTCGATTCACCACTTGATCCTTTGATATCTCATACCATTTCTACAAACATTTGCACTTTCTGCTGTGATCTTTTTATCTTTTCCGACTTTCTGCCCAAATCATAAATATTTTTTGTTTTCCCTGCTTTCTGGTTTAGCCTAGTTTCCGTTACATCACATTTCCTGTCCTGCTTCATGTGTATTGGACATAGTTACACATATCCCTATGAACAATTAGTGCTACATACCTTGCATCTGAATACAGGAAAAAGAGAGGAAACAAAGAACTTCCAGATGATCACATGCGATGTGGTGCTCCTTACTTACATAATTCAACAAACTCCAGTAATGTTGCAGTTTTTCAGTAGCTTTCACCCATTTTTCATTCCCCTATACTGAAGTACCTGGGCCAAAAGCTGTATATTTGATAGGAATTTTGTTTTAAGGCCTGCCAAGAAATAAGAGGGCTTTTATTACTGAATGATTCATCAGTGCAGAAGTTGTTTTGGTCCTGCTGGAGTATTTTGTATGATGCGGAGATAATTGCCACTGTTGTAAAATATTTTCATTGAGAACAGTTGACATAAAACACTGCACAGAAACTGATCTGTCAGCTTTGTTGTTTGGTGAATCATAATGTGTTGAATATTTTGACTTTCTTTTTGCTTGAAATATTTCTGTGTAGATTAAAAAAAAAAAAAAAAGTAAATTTGCTCTATTTGTACTTTCAAATACAAAGGTGGCATTTCATATGAGAGTTTAAAAGCTGCTGTTTCAGTTTTGTTTGTTTATTTTTTATTTTTTTTTCTGTTTCCCAACTTAATGGATACTTTAGAGAAAGGAGAAACATATAAGAAATATGTAAATGTGGTTTTGAGATTAATTCTTTCATCTTTTAAAACTCAAAAATGGTAGGAGCTAAATTCCTTCACCTTCTGGGGGCTAAATTCTTTCACAATTTAAAGCCAATATCCTGGTGTTTTACTGAACAGAATGTATGTGGCCTTGGAACACAGGATAAGTTGAAGACTGGGAAATATATCCATTTTTAATAGTAACTGTTGCAGCTACTTCCTTTCTCTGCCACCCATGAGGTTGCATCTCTTCCTTAGCACATAGAAGCCCAGTGATAACAATGTGCAGTGATAAGAGCTGATGTCTTTATAACATAGTAGCACATGATGTAGGAACACATCCTATTTCTTTTCTGAAAATGTTGTTTGTGGAGGGCTGAAGAATGGTAGGGTCAGCATCTTTGGAGCCATATAATCCAATTTTTTTGCAGTGGAACCAATGGTCAGTACGACATTCCTGTCCAAGCCATATCAAAGGTTTGGCAGACTGTGCTTTGGAAACATAACTTCTAGAATTTGTATGCTAGAATGTGTGTCACTGCCTTCACACTGAGATGTTTTCTGCCTTTCATGTACTATGGGCCCTTTTTTGAAAGGAGCCACTCATAAATGAAGTAATTTTTTTCAAGGAATTAATAGGAGTTTAAATAAGGGACTGAGTGTGATTCTCTCATCCTAGACACTTTGTAATCCGATGCCAATGTTTCTCTTAGTTGTAGACTGATTGTTGCAGACATTTGACTTTTATATTGTTTCTTCAAAAGTCTGTGTCAAAATGTTTCATAAACAAATAAATGATCTGCAAGCATTCAGCAAATTAAACTGTCCTCAGTGCTTCTCCAGTAGGTCTAATTGACCCAAAAGTCAGAACCTGGAGACTAAATACAATTGTATAAAGACAAAGCACTATTCTGCTCTGATCTTCTTGGAACATGGCCCTTGGCTGTTGCGTTTGATTTTCTGGTAATGGGTGAGAACATTAGAAAATAGATGAAGAATCCTCTCTTCTTCTGCCTAAATTTTACTTCAGAGCCTCAGGAATGTAGGTGACCACAGTAGCTCTACTTGGATATTAAAGCATAGCTTCATTCTGTAAGAACAAAGAAATCCAAAATAAGCTCAAGGGTTGCTATTTGAATGTCTGATATATCCTTGAATTTGCTGATCGTAATGTCTTTGTGAATGTAATATGAACAGAAATGTTTGAAATTAAAATATACCTTCAGTTTATAAACCATCCACAGTTGCAAACAAAACCAAAACACATTGTCTTAGTTATCATAACTATGTATATATACACACACATGCTTATATGTACATATGCATGTGTATCTACAGCAATTATTATTTTTTTCTCTTTTAGGTGTATGCTGAGAGTTCTGGATTCCTTTGGAACTGAACCAGAGTTTAACCATGCGCATTATGCCCAGTCTAAAGGCCACAAGACACCATGGGGGAAGTGGAACCTTAATCCACAGCAGTTTTATACAATGTTCCGTAAGTATCCCTGTGTTTATAAATAATTAGGAACTTTAAAAAGGAATGCTGTCATTGAGAAGAATTTTTGTATTATAAAAAACAAGTTCATGGTTTAATAAAGTGCAGCTGCTAAACGGGCAGAATTGTGTCAGTGAGTGTCTGTACACTATGCAGAAGCTCGATCGGGCTTCCACCCAGCAATCAGAAAATAACAATATCAACTTAATTATAAATAACAGTAGGGAACTTTATTCTTGGGATACGTGTGGAAAGTGATGATTGGCTTTTCCTTCAAGAGACAGTGAGTTTGCTTTTGTTACTTTTGCCTTCTCAAATCCTGCTGTGGAGTGATAGTTTTTTGAAAAACTTTCCGTATTGCATTTTTATAAGCTGCACTCTTGCATTTCATCATGTTAAACTGAGGTTTGTAAATATGTTAACTGTGTTTTGTATTTCTGCTTTTTTCCCTCAACAACTGAGCAGCACAATGCCTTTGCTGTTTCTTTGTGTTCAAGATTAATAAACTAACACTCAGCAAAAATTATATTTGTCTTTACTTTTTTTGTGAATTTCTCAAAATTTTCACCTAGCTTTATTTCATGTAATGAGCATTCATCCTGAGGTGAACCGATTCATATTTATTTACCAGCAGTGTGCAAAGCTATTGAAAAACAAGTAGTAGATTTCAGCATTGCTGCAGATCTTTGAAGCATCACTAAATATTTGCCCCAAAAAACTCTAAAAAAGGAACAGAACACCCAAAAAATATAAATTCTGTATAAATTGAGTCAGATTAAAAGATTACTGTGACCTGCTCTAGCCCTATTCTTTGGCTTTATGGCACTAGGCCCTAGAATCAAAGGACCTTTCTCTTGCATGTTGTAGTAGTAGTTCAAGTTTGTTATCTCTGAAAGGTGCAGAAAGATTCACTACTGCCAGCTAGCTTGAGGGTAAGAGAGTCTTAGGAAAGAGGAAAGTGCACGCTGTTGTCTGCAGCAACTTCTCAGCCCAAGTCCATAAAAAACACTTGGTTGTGACCAGCCTGATCTCCAAAGTTTGGTGGTGGTCCCTCTCTGAGACTAAGGCTAGGGCATACACTGTTCTCTCTCATCAGACTTCATAGACAAGTCTTTCAAACTTCTCTGCTTTTCATAGCAGAGTTACACATGCTGCTGTCTGGTTGACATGGTTTTGATTTCAGCTGCCCTGTAAAATTCTTGAGAGAGGCATATTTTGTCTGTCAACATTTGCTGTGCAAATTTTTCCAGAGAAATATAAGCGAAGGTTGTTCAAAAGATAAAAGACTGCATTCACAGTTGTTTCAAAGCAAGTAACAAAATGTGTGGTGGGGAAATGTGACTTGGAAGTGGTTGCAGAGTTTGTTTCTGGACATTAGTAAGCAGAGCTTGTTCCATATCCACGTGATTTGCTAATATTTATTGGTTTACGTCCTAAAAGGAAAAGGAGACGAAAGATCAGTCATGCTGTATTTAAGTAGTCCAGCTGTTGGGAAATTTCTGTGTGAGGTCCTGTTCAAGATAGCAGCCAAGGTGATGATACACTTGAGGAAAATAGTTGCATGAATACTTGTGGTACTGCTGTGTGTGTGTACTCCTCAAGCCCCCTCCATGAAATGCAGAAAAAAGTAAAGACAGAGGAGGTCTCTGTTGTGGCAGTATAGACTACTAATACAGTCTCTTGTTCAGAGCAAATCACTTCATAATGAATTTTCACAAGAGCATGACAATATTGAAATTTCAACAAATAACCATTTCCAGTTTCTACTACTGGAAATGACTGTGGGTTTTCCTTTGCAGGAAAAGTGGTAAATAGATTGCAAGAAAACTAATTCTGAAGCACAAGGGATTCCAGTGCTATAGATTATTCAAGGATTTTTCTGCTTTTTTATTAGGTGCAGAAGAGTCAGCATGTTTTCTGATATTTAAAGTTTCTTTTTGTTTTTTGTTCTCTGCTGCAGAGACAGCACCATCTTTATGGGGTTGTGTTTAAAAGTGCATGTTACGCATCAATAAAGATTTTATGACAGTCTGGAACCCTGGACAGCTTCCCAAGATCCCCAGACTCTATTATGTTTTGAGAACTCTGATTATAAGGGCAGAGAATTATTACTGAGCAACAAGCAAGTCATATTCAAACCTGTGGCATAGTACCAAATACTTGACTGCTCTCTGAGCTTTCCAGAAGCATGAGGGGTTTTTTTCCCTTTTTATGTTTTTTTATTTTAAATTCTTTTATGCAAAATAACAGCACTGGTACTTTTAAAACTGCAAGATCTTGCTTAAAAATCCATCTGATTCCTGTCAGTGGCATTTGAGGGCACTGAATTCCACCAGTTCTAAGTGCTAACTTTAACAAAGGTTTATTTTTCTTTTGAGTGTGTACTCCCTTTCCTCTCCTTTGAATGCAGTCTCTCATCCAAAAATATGAAAGGATGGAAAAATGCCCCTTTTCAGGCATATTTGCAATGTGCCATTTGCTATGCTAAATTCTAAAAAGTCCTTGGGTCTAAGTGAGTGCCTAGCTGTTGCTGAGGCATTTTTTGTGAAAAAGAGTAATTGTCATTTGAAAGACTAAATGTAATGGCAGAGGGAAGTGTACACTGTGTATGGTTTCTCTGTTCTACTGCATTATCCACTTGGCTGATTTTCAAGAATCAAAAAGGAAAACTTCATAATTGCAATAGAATTTTATTTTTTTAATAACTCTGACTATAGGATTAGCATTGCATGTATCAAAGTGCCTGCGGCGTTGTCTTTGGGGGTTTGTTTGTTTGTTTTGGATTTTTTTAACTTTGCAAAATGTGCGTAGTAGGAAGTTGTCAGCTCATGTGCCAGAGTTTGAGGGAGGCTTATAGAGGAGATCCTGGTATTTATTGCAGCCTATTTTTATGTAAACTTGTGAGGCTATGACACTTTTCAGAGAAGGACAAAAATCCCACGAGTTAGAATAGTTTATATATAGTAGGGATGGATTTTTACCCGGAGCCTTGAATGTTGGACTCCATCCCTCTAATTAAACACCTTGTCTACAAAAAGAAAAACAAACAAACAAACCAAAATGACAAAAAAAATGTAGTTTTAATGAGCCTATACATCTGTGTCTTTATAGGAGGAGAACAGTGGCTAGTTTTGCTGAATATCACTGCTGGAAAAAGACCAACAAAGACTAAAAATAATATAGAAAACTAAGAGTAAATTGTGTGTCCTTTGCATACACTTCTTTTGTCTGGGAACTGGATGAACAATAATTTTGCCAACTTCAGTTGTCACCTTTCAATATTTTATGATAGATATAACTGAGTGAATTAAGCACTGACATTCATATTCTGATCTCCGTAGTGTGATTTTGTAGGCTAGTAAGTAGCATGGATACATAATATGCAGTGAGTTGGATAGTTGGTGTTAGCTCTTCCAATATAGGTTGTGAACCCAGGAAATTTACTAAAATTTATTTATGACATTGAGCAACATAAAAATAAATAAAATAAAGCTCAGCACACAAAAGGCATTATCATTGGCCTTGGTTCCAGCTACAGAATTTTTATTGTCAGAAACAAGCCAGAAAATCACTACTTATTTCAGTAGACATATGCAACAGGACTTAATAAGAACTATTCTTGATAATAAAGCAAGCAAATGTATCTCTCAGTATGAATTTGAAGGAGGTGATCTGTTGAATAATATATTCCTTATACTTACTTTTATGATAACATTCATGCTTTTGTAGCGTTAACTGATACTTTAAAAGGTTTTAAATATGCTCTGTTTCTTACAGCTCACACTCCAGATAACAGCTTCCTTGGATTTGTAGTGGAGCAGCATCTGAATGCCAGTGACATTAAACACATTAATGACATCAAAAGGCAGAATCAATCTCTCGTTTATGGAAAAGTAGATAATTTCTGGAAGGTGAGTTTTCTATGCTCATATACTTCAGCAAATATATTCTGATCAGTATAATAAAGCATAACTCTAAATTTAAAAGTATCCATTCTCTTTAAATCTATTGTTATTTTTCTGAAAAGAAACGTATTTAAATAATTGAATTGAATATTTTGAAGTCTTCTGATGAGGAAATTTCTGTCTAGATAGATGTGGATCCTTTGATATTTATGTACACCTTTCTGATAGAATAATAAACTTTTATAGTCTTGATATCACAATAATTTTGGAAAATGCAGAAGCTGTTAAAAGTAATGGGAAATTTAAGGTGTCAGAAGCTTTGTGAACTTTAATCAGTCATAAGCAAATGTGTCTTTCAATTATTTATTTTCTTATATTTACAACCAAGAATGCACTGCATTTTGAACTGGAAATTGTATTTCACTAAGGGCCCTAGAAGTGTTCAATCCCATTTTATCTCCCTGTAATAATATCAGAGTTTTGTTTCTTAAATATTTGTTTCTTAAAAATTACTGCATTGTCTCCTATCTGCAGACAAGAGCTAACAACATCAGAATAACAACACTGGGGTTTGGTCATATTTTCACCAAGTTCATGTATATTGTGTTGTTAAGCTCACAGTGGTCTCTGCTTTTTGTCCACTGTCCTTTTCTGGAGCTCCTTCTTCCAGACTCCCACACCTGGGAGTGTCTCCCTCATGCAGTTTTCAAAGAAAAGTGATTACTTACTAATAACTGGATTTCTTCCATGTTACCTCAAGTTCTGTGTGTCCATATACTTTGTATGCCTTCCCTCCTTCCTAAAAAGACCTTATTTTAAACCTCTTGTCAACTGAAAAAGGAACTGATCAGTACATGCTGTGCCATACATAGGAGGAAATAATATGACAGTATGAGAGCACCTGTATCTCACTTTTTCTTTCCTTTTCTCTTCATTGGCATAAGAATACTGATCGTGCAGTTTTCTGAACCACAGAAGCAACATTTAGTCTGATAACTGTGATCATACAGAATAAATTATTGAAAAATGATAGCTACAAGTAAATGGTCCATCTGTGAGACAAAACAAAACAAAAACTTAAAGAGAAATGGGAGACTGTTGCCAGTGGTAGCAAAAAGGTAGAGCTGAATGCTTCTTGGCTATTGTGCTGAGAAACGTGTATATTAGCTCTGCGTATTAGATTGTGATCTCTCAGGTTTATATTTGGGTTTATTGCACTAAGCCATGTAATCTGTGTCTTAAAAGGAAATTTTGCTTTGCATGGTAGTAAATACTGTGATAGTTATTCAGTTTGTCTTATGGCACAGAATGACTTAATATGCCCCTGCAGTCTTTTCTGTCTGCAGCATGCTGAAGCAGAGCTGGGATCCTTTCATTCAAGTCTTTCCTGGCTGAGACTCTTGTACTTTTAGTTCCTGATCTCATTATCAGTCTCTCAGGAACATTGGCATGTAATAATCATCTATGCTTCCTGACCTGATTTGTAGTGCATATCAGGAGAACAACCTGTTGAATACTAGTTGGATTTAAGGAACAAAAGACATGCTTAGTCACCAGGGTTTTTTTCACTGACGTATATACATCTTTCTCAGTTTATTCAGTCTGCATGAATTCAGAAATATGTATTAATAGCTTATATGCCCAGAGGGGAGATCTGTGATTGTCCAGTCTGACATTCTCTATGATACACAGGGTATTCATGGGCTGATTAAGACAAAAACATGGCTTTTTGGAAGAAAACATCCAGTCTTGATTTTTAAAATAGCACACAATGGAAACCCTGCTATTTCCTCTGGTAAAATCTTCAACAATTGTCTTCTCCCTTAAGACCGGGAATTATTTCTGGTACAGATTTCCAAATGGTAATTTCCAGTCTTAGTAGTTTTTACAGACTTTGTCTACTGGGCTGACCATGTTTTTGTTGTTTCCCTGTAGGAATAGATGGGTTGAGGTCAAAGTAACCCATAGTCGTCTCCTGAAAAGCCTCCATATGCTGAACCACTAAAAGCTTTGTGCTTTCTCACCCTTAAGTGTTCTCACATGTCTGTTTTCTCTGAACCTTATTAAGATTATTCACACTGCTCTTGAAATATGAATGTTAGCAAAGGGTATGTGGGCCATACCAGCACCAAATGAAAAAGAAATACTTTATGCATTGTTAGACATATCCCCTTTTCATCATTAGGAAATTGTGTTTAGACAACTTCTCAACCAAGAAGAGCCTTGTATCATTTTTTAGAACTGCTGCTTTTCAAGTCACTGCTCTGTTTGTATCAGTATTGCCTGTCTTGTTTCTTCCAACATGTATGGCTTAATACCTGGCCATATTAAAATTCTTACTTTATGCTTGGAACATCAAGCACATTAAAACTGTAACTTGCAGGTTGTAACTGCAATCATGCCCATATGCACTGGTACAGAAAGTGCAATCACTGCAGATAGGCTTTGAATTGGTGACTGTGGGATGTCTTATCTGGAGTGATAAAATCCAATCCTTGTGATCAACAGAAAGCCTGAACTGATCTTGTGTCTGTGTAATTTGCTTATTTTGTGGTTCCTTCATTTTTCCCATTGAATGCTCTTTTCATCTGCCATCATGGCTTGTACGGAACCAGACTAATCTATTTATCCTGCTCCTTTTCTTTAAATTGAACATGACTAATTAACAAAAAGTATAATCTCCACAGCATACATTCACTGCTGGGTCTGGTCAGTCATTAGAGAAGCACAGTGTGGAGGGGAGAGGAGTACCCAGACTGAGGTAGTTCTGGGGAATAGCAGTTGCAAATAAATTCTTTAATTTTAAACCAAGCAGGTTGAAATGGAACTGAAGTATGAACAGGACCTTTTTTCCCTGGGGATGGGCCTAGAATAGCTAACAGCCATTATGGTTTTATATAGCTGTGGGACATGGGTCCTTTTCTGTGTCTGGCTAGGCCTGGGGGGGGGGGGGGGGTGGAAGTCAAAATTACTTATCATTTCATCTTTGCTAGAAATCCCCATATTCCCATCTCTGCTGCATGGCTGGGCAGAGTTGCTGAGGCTAGCTCAGACCACCTGCTCAAACTGTGTACACTAACCAGGCTTCTGAAGCTAGAGAATTACAGATTGCCTATATATAATGTTCTGTCTTCCCACATCATTTAGTGGGGCTAAACCCTGGTATGAACATGACGAGTAACAGGGGGAGAAATACAGCGATGACTTCTGTCAGCTCTGCTGGATACAGAAAAAAATGTATGTACTGAGACCAGGGGCATTCATCCCATATTACAGTGGGCAAGTCTGGGTACATTCTGCTGGGAGTCAGGAAGGATGCAAGCTGCAGAGACTGTAAGATACATCTTGTTTACTTCCCTCTGATAACTAAATCAGTCTTAAGTGGGTTGAGGATTGCAAGTAGGAGTCTCTGAAGAATTTTGCCACATTTCTAAAGGTGATCCTCAGAGGTAAGCTATCAAGGGCAACATTTGCCAAGTTTTGTTTGTGTTTGTCGTAATCAAAGGTTTGGGTGTTTGTCTGGGATTTCTGCCAGTACTAAGGAGTTAAGAGAGTCCTATCTCTGCCTAAGTGAAAAAGAAGGAATGAATGAAATGTGAGTGAAACCCATAATGCTCTCCATTATCAAAACTGGCTTTAATTACAGAACATTTCAATTAAAAGGGAATGTTTGAAGCCTTTCATGTCGTTTTAGCTCCTGTTTCCATCTGAGTCTTTTCTTTGTTCTTCTTCCTGCAACTTCCTTTCATGCTATTCCAATATTTCTACCCTCTATCCTAGAAAGAAAAGAGAGTCAAGATTCATTTTACACTATCTGCTATTTTTTTGGGCGGGGGGTAGGGGTGGGGGATGGGGGAAAGTGGTGCTGTAAGGCAAGTCAGAATTTTGCTTGCATCAGAAAATAGCCATCAGTGCATAACATACAATTGTATGATGATTGCTTTCATACAGTTTATTATAGTTTATTGGAGCTGTCTTAAAAATTTTTATATATTTAAAGGCAAAATAACGTGAGTTTGTTGCTGATGCCACTTGACAAGATGGCAGTCTTCTTAAGTGTATACTGTCTGCATAACAGGTTTTGAGGAATCAGAGATGGGAACTGGTTACGTTTAGCTTGTTCTCAATGGGAAAGTACATAACCAAGGCTGTTCTTAGTAATGTCTCCCCTTTATAGCTCCATGTGACGTATGTAATTTCCCCCTCGTATGCCCTCTTGCATGAAGTGGGAAGGAGAAAATGAGAAGTCAGAGAGGAAAAATTATACTTCTAGGAATAGTTCTGTTACGTGCAGAGATCAGCGTCTCACTGCTGGCAGCATTGCCTTTTCCCTCCCTTCTGATTGGTTTTTATGCTTCATATTTAGCAACATACTTTGGCTGAACATTTAATTTCATTTTTTAAACAAAAAGAAACATAAGGAAAGGGAGAAAAGATCCTTCTCACTTTCTCTCCCACGTGGTCAGTACACTCATAAATTTGTCTCGTGGTGTTTTTATTTTGTCTTCCTCCAAACTTGCAGCAGCACTGTGGGCTTATCTATCAATCGAAACTTACCCTAGTTGCTGTCACCAAGAGCACTGTCCTGCTTTATGCCACATAACGAATTGAAATGAGCCAGACACTTTAGTTCAGCAACATTTCTGAAATTCACCACTTGCTTCTGAAAGAAGTATGGATCAAAAAACCCAAGTAAATCAAGACAAATGAGCACCTTTAGGTACAGCAAATAAGGATATCTGTATCTACACCGTTGAAAGCTTATTATTCAATATTTATTATGAAAAATTAGAATTTAATTTTTTATGAAGAAAGAAAGGAAGAAGAAAATGTTTTCCATTAATATTTACCTTCAGACAGGTCGATGATCAGCTTCTGTTTTTGCAGAACTCTCCAGCTGCAAAATGAATTAGTGAGGTCTTACAATACCAATTAATGCAATCATATACTAGTATTTGAGTGTCACAAAAATAACACAACCTTTTCCTCCTGTGGTCTCAGCTCCT